GTACAAGAGGAAGTATTCAGCAGCTAAATCTAAGGTTGAAAAGAAAAAGAAGGAGAAGGTTCTTGCTACTGTTACAAGACCAGTTGGTGGTGACAAGAATGGTGGTACCTGAGTGGTTAAACTTCGCAAAATGCCTAGGTATTATCCTACTGAAGATGTGCCTCAAAAGCTGTTGGGCCATGGCAAAAAACTTTCCAGTCAGCCTGTGAGAAAGTTGCAAGCTAGCACCACTCCTGGGGCCATTTTGATCATCCTTATTGGGCACCACAGAGGCAAGAGGTTAGTTTTCCTGAAGCAACTGGGCAGTGGCTTGCTAACTGTGACTGGACCTCTGGCTCTCAACCGAGTTCTTCTGAGTAGAACACACTAGAAATTTGTCATTGCCACTTCCACCAAAATTGATATCAGCAGAGTGAAAATCCCCAAACATCTCACTGACGCTTATTTCAAGAGGAAGCAGCTGCGTAAACCCAGACACCGGGAAGGGGAGATCTTTGACACAGAGAAGGAGAAATACAAGATTACAGAGCAGTGCAAGGTTGATCAGAAAGCTGTGGACTCGCAAACTCTGCCAAAAATCAAAGCTGTTCCTCAGCTTCAGGGCTACCACCGCCCTGTGTTTTCTCTCACAAATGGAGTTTACCCTCACAAATTGGTGTTCTAAATTTCTTACAAAGAACCTAATTAAACTGACTGATCCATTTAAAAAAAAAGAAAGAAAGAAAAGGGAAGATTCTTTCTAGTTGGAGGAAGACTAAATCATTGTTCAATACAGGACATAAGCAGGGGGTAGGGATGGATAGAGAGAAGGGAGTGAAGAAGATCTGGACTAGCCTTTTATGGAGAGAAGACTGGGGAAAATTCTGGAGAGACTGATGTAGCTGCAGGCCGAGACAGAAGTGGTCAGAAGTCACCCCTTCTAAAAGTGACCCCAAACATCCCAAGATGTTAAATACTTTAAGAAACACAAAATAGTCTCTAGGAATAAGTATATAAAGCAGTAAGTTATGATGATTATATTGTCCAAAGTAAAAATCGGGACATTTGACCTGCTAATTGAACAGGATAGCTGGAAGTGAGACTTCCTACCCCCTACAGATGAGGGGTGCCCGGTCAATGTGCATGAACCCTAAAAGAGATGCTTGCCTATGAAGCCAGGGGTTGTACTAGATGTTTCTTCATTCCCTGTCAGTCTTCCGTGTGACGAGTGGTAGCTGTGTGGGGAGAGTAGGTGAGGTTAGCAAGAAGATGGAGGCCTGTCCCTTCTGACCTCTCTTCAGCTCCTCTCCCCCAGGGTTTGCAGTGCACTCATGTTCTTAAATTTAGGTTAAGTTTGTAGAGAAAAGTGACATAGATGGGCCACAGGCAAAAGATGGAGAGGGAAAAAGCCACACCTGTGACATTCCACTCAATCTCTCTCTCTTTTTTAAGATTATTTGTTTATTTATTCATGAGAGACACACAGAGAGAGGCAGAGACATAGGCAGAGGGAGAAGCAGGCTCCCCGCAGGGAGCCCAATGTGGGTCTTAATCCCAGGACCCTGAGATCACAACCTGAGCTGAAGGCAGACCCTCAACCACTGAGCCACCAGGTTCCCCTCCACTCAATCTTTCATTTTAGGAAAAGACTCTTAGTTTAGACTCGAATCTAATTTTGTGTGCTTGGGGTGTGTGTGTTTTGAATCTCACTCATTCCTCTTACTAAACATCACTGGAAGAGCAAGCCACTCCAGCACAAAGCCTCAGTCAGAAGACCTTTTGTCCACTATTATTTTAAAGACAGGGTGCATAACTCAAAATGATCAGATCTTTAGTAATTATATCTTTTAAAAGTAGTCCTTATCCAGTAAATGATATATAGCAAAAAGGGGGGGCAGACAAATATCTACATACACAAAATAGAGGGATATCATCTTGGTTTCCAAATTCCATATAATAAACTCACTACGACTGCCTTGACTACAAAGTGTAGAACCTTCGACAAGGACCTTCCTTATTATAATCTGAAACACCAACCCCTACATATACACTTACACTTTGATACACTTTGGCAAGTCTTTGCTGTCCTGAGCACCCAAGTTCAATGTGTGTTGAGGAAGGGGGTTCCCCACACCTCCAACAAGCAAAGCTTCAATACTGGCCGGGTGTGTGAGAATTCAAACCAAGTGTGACACTATCCACCCACATAGTCTCTGATCCCACAGGTTGCGGGTTTAGTCCTACAGGTGCCCTCCTAGACCCAAGCTCAGATTGTTAGCCAGGCTTCTGCCTAACTGGCTACAAACTGGAGGTTCCAGTGAACTCCTCCAAAACTCAGGATGCAAATCACCAAGCCCTGGTTGTTACTTGTACTTCTGACCAACCAGCTAATAAATCAGATTCCCAAGGGCCCCTCCTCAGGTGGACTAGTTTGCTAGAGTGCTTCATAGAACTCAGATAAACATTTAACTTACCAGATGACTGGTTTGTTACAAAAGGATAGAACTCAGGAAGAGCCAGATGAAAGAGATGCATAGGGCAGGGCATGGGGACAGGGCTCGGGGCTTCCATGTCTTCCCTAGGTGTGTCACTCTCCCCAATCTCATGTGTTTGCCAGCTCAGAAGCTCTCTGAACCCCATCCTTTTGGAGTTTTGTGGAAGCTTCATTACACAGACATGGTTGATTAAATCTTTTGCCACTGGCAAATGATTTAACCTTCAGCCCCTCTCTCTTCCCCAGAGGTCAGGCAACGGGACCAAAATCATTCTCGCCGGTTCTTCTGAGGACTCCATCCCTCAGGTGTTTTCCAAGTCATTTCACTAACATAACACAGAACATCTTTATCATTCTCAACACTTAGGAAATTCCAAGGGTCTGGGGTGCTCTGTGCCAGAAATGGAGGGAAAGATCTCCATATGCTTATCAGAAGTCACAACAGCACAGCAGGTCTTTGAAAAGATAAGGTATACATCTATTTCAGAAGCTTCAGCAATAAGTGGGTTTTCCACAATGTATGGGTGTGTATATGGCCACTAAACAGGCCTATTCAGCTTCTGGCATATTCTTTTGAGATTCATTTAAGTCACTAAGACAATTACATATAGAAAAAGTGATTGTGTTCATATACTGCTTTAGTTACCTGTATTCTATAAGAGGCGAGGCCTTGTTACAGGGGCTATAGATGGAATAAAGTACAAGTTCTGTCACTAGAGAGTTCATCCCTTAATTACAAACTGAATTCTTGAATTCTCATTGCTTTAGGGCCGATGTCAGTTTCTGAAAAGATTGCTTGATTGATTTATAAAGATTTTATTTATTTATGAGAGACACAGAGGCAGAGACACAGGCAGAGGGAGAAGCAGGCTCCCTGCAGGGAACCTGATGTGGGACTTGATCCCAGGACTCGGGGATCATGACCTGAACCAAAGGTAGGTTCCTAACCGACTGAGCCACCCAGGCGCCTCTAGTGTGGTCTTTCCTCTTAAGGACCTAACCGTTTTAAATGAACTCATCGTTTTAAATCAATTTTTCTTGGAACTGATTTTCTTCAGTAAGTCAAAAATTAAGTCAGGTAACAGGAGAGTGAAAATACGTTGCTGTTAGTAGTTACAAATTTCTGGTATATAATCCATTATTAGCATTGCTTCTATGAGTTATCTAGTGAATATTACATTTCTTTAATAATGTTTGCATTTTCTGAAAATTCACTTCACTACATTTCCAGGCACACAAAAGCTGGAAAGGCTACATCTGCCACATCTTGGATGGCAGCCTGACTCCAACTCAAAATCTGACATCTTGCTCCTTCCCACAGAGGAAATTTGTAAACTTGTCTCCCTTTCTATGTTTCGTTGACACAGCTCACTGGAGAAATCTGTTTTTAAAAAAGTTAGAGCCAAATTTCATAGCATGTTATTTACTTTCGGGTCTGCCATAGTCCTCTAAAGATGGATGCTTTTCTTCTCTGCTCAACGGGTTGAAATTTAATATTGGGAATTGGGCAAATCTAAGCATTTCGATAATGAAAGTTGAACTACCAAGGCTGCAATTTCCTTTGTGGGGGGACATGAATTTCTAGCCAATAAAATGTGTGTCCATGTAACGATGAGTTCCCCTGCCCAATTTACTTTGGTCTTATACTGAGTGTTGGTTGTAGGTAAATACAGATAAACACCGTGTTTTGAGAACACAAATCCATGCTGCCTACAATGACCTTGGGAAGTGGGGAAGGACAGAATAAAGGTTGAGGCGGGGCCAGGGTGTCCTGACCCCCAGGGAAAGGGCAGGGACAGCTGTGTGTTCTGGTGTGCTCTGTGTACTGGGATCCACTTCCCCTTGTTCTTTGTGCTACAGTCTGAGAACCAAGTGTGTGGTCATCTGGGCGCACCCTCACAGAGGGTCAGTGCCTGGAGAGAGGGCATTGGTCCCTCGGCAGCAAACACAGGGTCCTTTGTTCAAGAGAAGCATTTTGTTACCATGTGTAAATGGAAGGAAGACCGGGTGTCACAGGGTTCCTGCTGGCTATGCAAGCTTACTAAAAACTCACTGCATTCCAAGGGCAATTGTGCTAACTCACAGGAACTACTCATTTTCTTCCTTCTCAGTGGACTTTACTGAAGTGTCCTGAAGAAAAGATGAAAAGGCAGCCCACACTTGGGATGCTGTAAACTTGCCAAGGAGGAGAGTAAGTCACCATTTCTTAATCTTCCTACAATGCTGTTCTACAAGTTTCTCCTGAGACAGTAACAAGGCAAATCAACAATCCCTTTGATATCAAGTCCCACAGTGCTGGGGTTGGAATACAGCTACAACAAAGTGGTCCTTGGTTCTAGAAATCTTTAATAACCTGAGGAGACATGACCACTTTTATTCTTTTACTACTAAGCCTCTGTCTGCCACGAAAACCACACTGAGTGTTGACGGCTAAAAGGTCATCACGTTCAAACACAAGCAGAGTCAAACCTGGTCTGACAACTTATTTTAACCAGTGGGCCCAACAAATGATGACAATCCCCAAAGCTGTGAAAACAGATATTGCCAATGCTTTATCGATATACTCTAGGGAAAGGAAAAACCCAGTGCAACACAAAAGGAGCCATGAAGGAAAGGGGACACCTAGAATACATGAAGTTGTGTAGATGATCCCAGTTTAGCTTTGCCTGAAAACATGACACACACTCATCCAGTCCCCAAGCATTTTCCTAAGGTGGGCCTAGGTTCTGCTCTCTGTAGGAGACAAAACAAATAAATAAAAACAAACCATACAACTCACTGAAATTTTCTGTGGTCCAAAGTTCTGGTAAGATGTATGTTAAGATACAGAACATATATACATTGTCCTCAGTTACCTCAAAAGCAAGGACTCCTGCCCCATACGAGGGATGCGAGTGCACCTACAAAGCTCTACAAAGTCAGAGGGGTGGAGTGAAGCCTGTTACTGGCGATCCACCTGTGACATCCTGAAGCACCTAGAAGTCTGTTCCCCAAAGAGCGAGTATGTGTGGGGTGGGGTGAGGGAGGAATAAGTCTGAAGCCAAGAAGCCACTTCTAATAAATAGTTGCCAACCTGCTAAAAGTTCTTGGATCAACTCCGACTGGCTGGTGGGCTCCATAAAAGGTCTTTGAAAAAATTATGTGTTTTACTCATTTATTTAAGGCCACGGAGCACTTACTCCCTGCAAGTAATTCAGAGGTGAGAGGCCTGGGAAAAGCAATGTAAGAAGGCACAAACGGCCATACAGAGGAGAGGTGGTGAGGGGGCCAGGCCTGACATTGGCTGAAAGCTGCCAGGTGCTGGGCACGGAACTACACACCTCCAAGCGGCCCTGCAGGGCAGTGGCACATGAGGCCACATAGCCCACGGGGGAGGTGCTCACAAACACCAGGAAAGTTGTCTAAGGAAGTTCCAAACCCTGGCTTTTGTCAAACTGTTTAAAAAAAAAATCAGGTTTCAAGTCGCCCCTGATGGGCAAGGGGCTGGAGGTGGATGGTGCAGGGCTGGCCTTACCGAGTCACAGGACAGCTGTGGACCACCTTCCTGAGTCTCAATTCTCAACATTAAGTCATTTAGCTGGCGAAAATTTCCAAGTATTTTCTCTTAAACAGTATTTAGTAAAAAAAGAGCAAAATCTGCAGAAAATGTTAAGTCACTAATGCAGAGAAATCCTATTTTGCTAGGCTGGCGACTCTGAACTTGACCCTGGGGCCCTGGAGATCAGGGCCCCCGTGTGAACACTGTGACTGGCTCCCCCGCCCTGCGAGTGCTGAGGAGGGGACAGACATCGAGGCACGGGAGCAGGCTGGGAGTCAGAGCTACAGCGGGACTGGAAGGCAGAGGCAGAGAGCAGAGAGGTGAACCTACCCTCGATGGGGCAGGGAGGGAGCAAAGTAGCTGCCAACCCTCTGATGACAAAGACTGGAGCAATTAAGAGTCAGAAGCTGGAACAAGCCTGTTCTCTGGGAGGAAGCCAGACACTCGAGCATCCAGAGCTGCAGGGAGGCAGCCCTGGCAGGAGGAGGCACCCTCTGCTCTGTGGCTCACTGCGGCATCCCCCACCGAGGTCTCCACCTAGCAGCAGCCAAGGATATTTCAGGGAGATTATGGACTTTTTTTTTAAGTGCTCAAATGAAGTAGACTGTGAGAGCTCCTCAAAAGCTTTTGTCCCTTTTTGGTTTGTTCATTTGACCAGCACATTGTCTGGTACACCACTGCCAGGTAGGCATTAAAAAAAATGTTTGTTTTTTTTTAAATAGGCAATTTATAACACCAGAAAGATTTTATTTCAGTGTTTCAGAAAATGTGACTATGCTTGGAAAGGGTTTACTTTGCTACAACTCTGGTAACAAAGATTGTGTCCTAATTTTTATAAGCCACCTCAGGCAGGCAGTGGAACACTTTAGATTAACATTTATGTGCTTTTGGAAGGGCAGTAAAAAAACACTCAAGAAATTCAAGAGTTGTCACAATTTCAGGGAAGACAGTGGCTTCTGCAGCCCAAGCTGGCTTTGTATACTCAGAGGACACAGAAAATGTCTTCTGTGCCCCTTCCCAAACAGGGACACCCAGGACAGTTCCTCCCTTGTTGATTGTTGCAAGTCTTCTGGCAGAAGACAGACCCACAGAGAGGGGCCGTGAACTTCTCCGATCAGCCCAGGCCTCGCACAGCAGCATGGCTGAATCAGTACCCGTGGTTTAGCTCCTGAGCACATCATCCCGGAAGTGCCCCCGGCATGTGTCCCACCAAACAGTCACAAGGAATCAGAATCAGGCATTCAGGGCTCTCATCAAAGGAGTGACCTCCATTCTCCTTCCACTTAATTACCTGATATTCTATGTGCAGTAGACGTGGACAGAGTTTTTACAAATTAAATAATCTTCTTAAAATACAATAAAACATCATTACATAGAAGTCTCTTGGAAAAGTCTTTCCAATTCAATTCTCAAAATCACCTTACAAAATTTTGTGCAAAAACACCGACCTCAAATAAATAGGGGGGACAAAGTGGGAAGAGCAAAACTGTTGTTTTTTAAATTAAAAGTTAAAAACCCCAGCTGCACCTCAAAGTATTTTGCAGGATGCGCTGCATCGAGAAGGCTACGAAAAACAGCCTTCAGAGTCAGAGTTGCATTGTCACATGAGGTTTCCCTGTGTTCAGAATTCACAATGGATGCCTCCGCTGAGATCCTTCACCACGCCCTCTTTGACCAGCTTGAGGAGGAACCTGGTCTCCGTTGTCACATTATGCATGGTTTGAAAGTTCATGGCAGCCATGCAGAGATTGTCAAAGTAGTGCAAAGGTGTTTTGGGTTGATTGAGGTCATATCCAAAGCCTGCCAAGCTGACTTCATCACACAGATGTGTGGCTAAGACAACGGCAATGACACCAATGGTGGGCACGTTCTGAAAAAAGAAAAGACAAAACAAAGCTTAGCACAATTCACTGTTTTCCAAGAGGTATACATACCTTGCAAAGTCACAGTGGCTTCACTATGGGCTTCGATTTATACAGCATGTGGTTTTATAGATCACAGAATCCTAGAATCTGACTTCCCACCCAAGTCAGCAATCTAGACTCTAAAACATGATCGGTGATGTAACTACCTCTGAACACACCACCAAGAGGCAGCCTGGAAGCCCTTCTTGTACCAGACTTAAAGTTCTTCATAAAACTTCTACCTACTGGTCCTACAGGTGATGACCAGAACTGCAAAACAAGTCCATTTCCTTTCTTACATGATAAAGATCTACAAGGTCTACTCTAGAATCGGTGGTCACAGGACCTCCCAAAATCCTTCTTGGGACCCATTTCTAGAGGTGGCCCTTCTTTGCTGGCCCCTGTGGACAATCTCTGCCTGAGACTGTCCACAGAGCAGCCTCCCTTCCTGCCAGTGAAGGCTATGTTCACTTCTTACCTGAAGCTATGTCCCACCTAAGGCCCTTGTTTGCTTTTCTGGCAAATAACACTTACAGGCCATTTTCACATGCACAGCTGCTAATAAGCCAGTTTCTGTTCACCCTTTATTTGGGCAATTTTTAGGCCCAAATTAGGGATTTCCACATTTGTTCCTTCTAAAATGTCTCCTACTGACTGTGGCCTAATGTACCAAATGTCTGAATCATTCTGGATTCTCATTATATCACCACTCCTGCACGTCTGCTATCTTGCCACTTGCAAATGTGGAATCATGCTTTCTGGATCTCTGTCTCTTGCCACTTGCAAATGTGGAATCATGCTTTCTGGATCCCTCTCTCAGCCTTGGGCAAAAACAGTACCCAGGGTAGAGAGAACAGAAAGTTCCACAGTGGTCTGAGCACTCCCCAAAAGGTGACAGCTGATCTACTAATGGCATTCTGTTGTACAGTTTTTCATGTGTAAATGTACCTACTTTGTTCATCCTGAGTCTGTGGCTTCCAGAAACAACTCTCCATTTCTATAAACTGGAACAACAGTGAGCCCTTCAGAGTTCATAGTTTAAGTGGGGTTAAGAACATCAACTGAGCTCATCATTTGTTAGGCCACCTCCTGCTCCTTCATGTGTTGCATCTGTGTCACTTGTTAAAAAGAAACTCAAGAGTCACTGAATACAAGAGAAGTTAACCCAAAGGAAGATTTCTTCCTGTTCAGCCACAGGACCATAAAGTAGTGACCTGTCTTACCTGTGGCCAGCTCTGTACCTAGCGTATCAGGAATACTCAACCAGTATTTGCAGAAGGACTGTGTGAAACCAGCTGCTCATAGGGGCAATGTATGGAGAGAAACTCAGAAGCCATCGAAAACCACTCAGAGATGCTATCTCCAGATCCCATCTCATAACCCACCAGACTTCCCTCTCTTCTGGAAGGGCTTGCATACCAGAAAGTTCCTGACAACGCCATCCCGGTTTGGTGTTTATTTCTGGGCTTTTCCATATGCATCTCTGTACATACATTTTTATTTTTATTTATTTTTTAAAAGATTTTATTTATTTATTTATTTATTTATTTATTTATTTATTCATGAGCGACAGAGAGAGAGAGAGAGAGAGAGAGAGGCAGAGACACAGGCCGAGGGAGAATCAGGCTCCATGCAGGGAGCCTGATGTGGGATTCGATCCCGGGGTCTCCAGGATCATGCCCTGGGCTGAAGGCGGCGCTAAACCATTGAGACACCCGGGCTGAGCCCCATTTTTATTATTATTATTTTTTTTAATTATTATTTATTTATGATAGTCATACAGAGAGAGAGAGAGAGAGAGGCAGAGACACTGGCAGAGGGAGAAGCAGGCTCCATGCACCGGGAGCCTGATGTGGGATTCGATCCTGGGTCTCCAGGATCGCGCCCTGGGCCAAAGGCAGGCGCCAAACCACTGCACCACCCAGGGATCCCACCCATTTTTATTTTTAAACAAAAATAGGATGGTACAAATGCTCTGGAACTTGATTTTCTTGTTTAATACATTATGGAGGGATCTTCACATCCCTTAATTTTCCTTCATCCTTAAGAGTCACACAATATTGCATTCACTACACATAATATGTTTAAACAATCGTCTAATGAGAAATGTTTAGACTGGTTTTAGTCCTTTGCCATTAACATGATGGTGAACATCCTAGAATAGCCACCTTTGCAGATTTCTTTTTTTTTAAAAAAGATTTTATTTTTCAGAAATCTCTATACTCAATGTGGGGCTCAAACTCACAGCCCTGAGAGCAAGAGTCACATGCTCCACTGACTGAGCCAGCCAGATGCTCCTCTGATTTTCTATAATAAAATTTTTAGAGTAAAATTGCTGGGAAAAGACTATTCACATTTAAAGCTAATATATATTGCCAAACCACCCTCCAGAAAAGTACCAACTTATAATTCTACCTGTATTCCTGCCAAGCAAAGACATTATCAAGCATTTAAATCTTTGCTAAAAAAACAGGGGGAAATGTCACTGTGGCTCTAACTTACTTTTATTTGATTATTGGTGAAGTTGAACATTTTATCATGCATTCCTTGGCTGTATTAATTTCTTCTTTTGTGTAATGTCTGTTCATATCTTTTCCCCATTTTTTTATTGGCCCTCTTTTCTGTTTTATGTAATAAGATCTTATACTTTAGAAGTATTTACTATCATATATATGATAAAATTTCCCCTCCTTATTTTGTGTTGATATTTTTTGCTGTTCATTTCGTATTTTATGTAATTGTATCTGCTAATTTTTTAAAGATTACTTTTTTCTTTAAGATTTTATTTATTTATTTGAGAGAAAGAGTGTGAGAGAAAGACAGCATGAGCAGAAGGAGAGGCAGAGAGAGAGGGAGAAGCAGACTCCTTACGAGCAGGGAGACTGACATGGACTCAATCCCAGGACCCTGGGATCATGACCTGAGCTGAAGGCAGATGCTTAACTGACTGAGCCACCCAGGGGCCCCTAAAGGTTACTTTTAAAATAAAAATCTACCTACAAACCATAGATGAACATTTCCCTATGTTTAAAAAATACTATGGGATTTCATAAAGACACAGGGCAGTTGAAAAGATACAGAAACCCATGGATAGTGAAACTTCTTTATAACTTAATTTTGTCAAAGTTTGTTTTAAGTCTTTCTTTTTTAACTGTTTTGTTAAAATTGATGCTAAATTGATGCTAAAATTGATGCTAATTGATGTCAAAGTCTGTTTTAAGTCTTCTTTTTTTTTTTTTTTTGGCTGTTTTGTTAAAATTGATGCTTAAAAGTTTTAAGTCCATGTTCTGGAGGATCCTATGTGCTCTCACATGGGGAAGAGCAGCTAAAGCAACCTATAATATAACAAGTCCAATCAGAGACCCAACAGCTGCTGCTGAGGGGCAGAGGAGCCACTTTCCTCAGAGAGGGAAACAGGTACCACAGGCTGACCAGAAAAACTGGTCCCAGACATGCTCCTGCTGTGGGCACAAAATACATGGCCCTGGTGGCCTCCCCATGGATGGAGAGGCAGGAAAGCCTCTCGGGGAGGGCAGAGCACCGGAGAAAAACGGTGGCCTGCTAAGGGAAGAGAAGAGCTTCAGCTGTGTTCACAGAAAGCTGGGTATTCAAACCTGAGGCTGGGGCCAGTGTTGGAGTTCGCTGTTACCGATCATAGTAAAGAACTAGGTTTTTGTTTTAAGGAGCCTATTTAAGGGGATCCCTGCGTGGCGCAGCGGTTTGGCGCCTGCCTTTGGCCCGGGGTGCGATCCTGGAGACCTGGGATCGAATCCCACGTTGGGCTCCTGGTGCATGGAGCCTGCTTCTCTCTCTCTCTCTGTGACTATCGTAAATAAATAAAAAATTTTAAAAAAGGGAGCCTATTTAAGTATTTGGTTTTCCTAGGAAACACAGAATTCTTCCTTTAAAATTTACACAGGTGTTTTAAAGAACATTTTTAATTAGAATTTGACTCATAGGGGAGGGGTGCCTGGGTAGCTCAATGGGTTAAGCATCTGCCTTCGGCTCAGGTCATGATCCCAGAATCCTGGGATCCAGCCCCTAATCAGGCTTCCTGCCCAGTGGGGAGCCTGCTTCTCCCTTATCTCTCTGCCCCTCTCTGCTCGTGCTCTCATTCTCTCTCTCTCTCTCTCAAATAAATAAAATTTGATTCATGGGGCAAATAGAAGAACCTGCTAATCTGCCTACTGGTTGACTACACCTAAGAGTCTAACTCATTGTTTGGAAACTGTAACCTTGAAGAGCCTCAGGTATCTGCTAGACAATATCTCAGGACTCCAGTGTGAGCAGTACCCCTACCTTTTCCAAATTCTTGCTTTCCTTTATATATGGAGATTTTGCTTAAAAGTTTGTTTACGAATGGGGGCTCCTGGGTGGCTCAGTCTGTTTAGGTTTAGCATTGGACTCTTGATTTCAGCTCAGATCTGGATCTCAGGGTCATGAGTTCAGGCTCCTCATTTAAAAAAAAAAAAAAAAAAGGATGATTTCCACCGCTTTTTTAAAATTTATTTAATCATGAGAGACACACAGAGAGAGAAAGAGGCAGAGACAGAGACATGCAGGCTCCATGCAGGGAACCCGACGCGGGACTCGATCCTGGGACTCCGGGATCACGCCCTGGGCCAAAGGCAGACACCCAACCACTGTGCCACCCAGGCACCCCTCCACCACTTTTTAAAAAATTATTCTAAAGACACAGGCTTAGCTATTTGGGTCATAAGGAAACCGACAATAAAGGCAAGCCACTCTCCCAATGGCAGCACAGGCCAACCGAAGGCAAAGAATTTCTATTGCAGTGAGCAACCTATAGATAGCACAAAGGTTCTCAAATAAGGCTGCAAAATAAAATCACCCAGGGGACTTTGAAAATCCCAATGTATAGACCACAGCATAAAACAAATAGGAAGTTTGGGATGGGACCCAAGCATCAACCGAAAAGCACTCTCTAGGGGGTAAATTTTATTTACTATTACCTATAAAGTGATGATAAATGTCAATTCTTACCTAAGCAGCCCCCAGAGTTAAAAATGTAAAGAACTTTCAGACCACCAAAGTGCCTTTCAGTGACCTACCATTAGTGATCGGAGTCCCAGAGTTAGAATACCTTAAATAATATCTTAGTGACATAAATTTCAACATATGGACTATACAAAAGAGATGAGTCACCAGGGGAAAAACCAAGTAAACAATGAGGAGCCCTAAAGTCAGGATGCAGATCGGCAAACACACACATAGCATCTCATCAGTGACTGCATTTCTACACTGGGAGACGCTTCTGGGTATACAGCTGAGCCTAAGTGAAATCTGTACAGAGGTCTCCCTTCCAACACAGAGAAGAAGAGTTAACTTTCAATTGCAACAAAAAAATACCTTATCTCGGCCCCAGAACCTTGACTGGGGCTCTGAGTATTGAAGGATGTCAAAGGCGGTCTCTTTGATAATAACTGGATTCAAAATCCTGAAATGTTTTGGCTGTAGTGGGATTTTTTCCGCCACCTGCTTCCAAAAGAAGAGCCGCACCCAAAATGGCTACGGAAAGAAAGCAAGCAATCATTAGGGGTACTTAATCAAGTGATCCTACCATCAGAAGGTGAGAATGCATCCCTGTTAACCAGCACAAAGCTGTGGGTGTGACCCCAAGTGGGCTTGTGTGCTGCATTCTGCAGCAAGTCATGGAGATCTATGCCAATTCGATACCCCAGTCGGAGTAGCAACCCAAAGGACCTGTTCTACGACAGTGGCATTTGACAAGAAGAGAAAGTGTAGAACCAGCTCTGGTTTGTTTGGGGAAGAAATTCCCCAGGTTGTGATCTGAGATAGTAAGGCTTTTTAGGACCTAAAGGCATCTTTTGTCCCAGGGAAGACCAGGTGAGCAGATCCAGTTTAAAGGTATTAAGTGCTGTGAGTGCCCCACTCTGATCAGGCCCTCCCCCTGCATCCTCTCCACTGACTTGCCCTAAGTCATAGCCCTATGAAGTCTCCTGGTAACTGACTGTAAGGCATTTCCTCCTAAGTGCTTCATCTTCCAACTAGACCAACTTCTACTCAATAGAAAAATCTAGAAGATCATGATAAACTCTACAGAATCTGGCTTTGCAGATAGAAATTCTCCATCAGATGGAGCTTATGTGAAAAGTCTACTATATCCTATTAATTTTGCAGAGAACTAGTTTTTGGGTGTGTCTACAAATGTTAGATTTGACCTCTGAAATTTATTTCAGTACAATGGATGGGGCTATAAGGTAATATGATTAATTATTATAACAAACAAAAGGGGATATGACCAAGCTCATGTTGAGTCCATTCCCTCAAAACCTGGCCCTCTGGAATTCTGAGAATTTCCTCCAACAAAAGGACTGCCTATCAGAACATTTTTAGACAATCTCTTGGGGAATATTCCTCAGAGGTTTCATATATATACTCTTTTGAAAAAACCTCAATAATGGTTTATATTCATCCAAGCAAATCTAATTTCTAGATTATCCAAGATATATGTAAATTCAAGTAAGTGAGTAAGGTAATAACAATTTTGGTCCAAAACTTGATATTTCCATTAAGTAATGATCACAATTTCCATGTGATCAGAATTTAATCTTAAATTCTGAAAGCAATTCCCAACAAGGACTGCTGATGGCTTTCTACAAAGGCAGTAGTTATCTGAAAGACAACAAAAAGTATAACTGACCCTTAAATGATGTGGTAGGGGAGGGGCACCACCATCCCCTCCTCAAGAAGTTGAAATCCACAGATAACTTCTGACTCTCCAAAAACTTAACTACTAATAGCCTACTGCTGACCAGGAGCCTTGCCAATAACATAAAGAGTTAATACATATTTTCAATGTTATATGTATTATATGTTGTATGTATTCTTAAAATAAAGCAAGCTAGAGAAAGGAAAATGTTATTCAGAAAATCATAAGGAAGAGAAAGTGCATTTATAATACTGCACTGTATTTATCGAAAACAACCTGCATATAAGTGGACCCAGGCAATTCAAACCCATGTTGTTCTGTGGTCAACTGTATGCATTCCACTGTGTTTGTTTAAAAATAAAAGTCTGGAATTACAATAAGAGATCCCTCCACTTTTTACGAAGGAACACTGGGTAGCTGAATTTCTAGTGCTTACCAGGGTTTCATTTTTTACCATTGCTTGAAGCCAGTTGAAGTCAACACTCTTGAATAAAACAGCAACAAACAAGTCATTGGAATAATATTCAAGGTCAGACAGTGGCGCGCCCTCTGGATAAGTCATCCTTATAGTAGTTTTATTACCAACATGCTCAGAATATCCCTCAACTGGTGCACTGTTTAACCTAAATTTTAAAAAAAGGACAAAAGTAGATTAACAAAGCAAGCCATCAACTATCTTGTCATATCATGCAAGACACATGCAAGATCCCTGCGTTGTGTTCCCCACATGTTTTTAGAACTGAGAGTGAGCTGTGGGTCGGAAGTAAGGCCTCTTTCCCAGCAGCCTCAAGTCCCTGAGGGATGCCCACATCTCCTCTCTGAATGTCAAGCAATTCCATCCAATCCTGCCATTTTAAGCCAACCCAAACATTATACTTTGAGCTTTCTCTGGGCATCAGTAATGTTTCCTTGAAAGCTTCCCGTTGTGCTCAGATATTAGATGTTCTTGCCAGAATTTCAAAAAGGTAATCAGAAAGGAAACCTAGAAACCAGGGCCAGGCACAATTATATGGACAGAGTTGGGACCAAGGAGGGCACTGGGCCCAGGTACATCCTTTATTTATTTATTTTTTTAACATTTTATTTATTTATTCATGAGAGACACAGAGAGGAAGAGGCAGAGACACAGGCAGAGGGAGAAACAGGCTCCATGAAGGGAGCCTGACGTGGGACTCGATCCTGGGACCCCAGGATCACACCCTGGGCCAAAGGCAGATGCTCAATCACTGAGCCACCCAGGTGTCCCCCAGGTACATCCTTTAAAGCAAGGATGTGGGACACTTAACACCTGTTCGATCAACCAAGGCTCTTACCAGGCATTAGGTTTTGGGGCAAATTCTAAGAATTCTTCTGAAAGCACTAACACTCACCCAAAGAGTTTTGTAATCTCAAAGTCTATTGGGCTCTTCTCCTGCATCATACACCTCTATTGTCACACTTGTATCTTGGCATTCTTCTCTATTATATTGCCATTTCTTCTAGATTTGATACCTACCTCTGGATTATCAAAGGATATTATTACACATGAGGACCAAATGCAAGGCATGCCCCTGAGGCAGTTATTTTTCTCCCCTTTTCTTTTTTAGAATGAAGGACATTATCAGGGTTGCTGGTGAAATCTGGATAAGGATGTAGATAGGACTTGTATTTTCTCAGTGTTAATTTCCTAATTCTGAATGCTGTTCTGTGGTTCTGCAGTTCTATGATAGTCCTCATTCTTGGGAAATCCTCACTGACTTATTTAGGGGTAAAGGGGCTTGATATTTGCAACTAACTATCAAAGAGTTCCAAAAAGAATAATAAAATATATGGAGAGAAAATCATGAAGTAACGTGATGAAGTCGTTACCAGCTGGATAATCTGGGGGAGGAAGCATGAATGGGAAGTTCTTTGTACTATTTTTGCAACTCTTCTGTTAAATTTGAAATTATTTTACACCTAAAAGTTTCCCGCAAAAAACTTCCTTTTTTTAAAAAAAGATTTTATTTATTTATTTGAGAGTGAGAGAGTGAGAGAGCGTATGCATGAGTGGGGGTAAAGGGCAGAGGCAGACCCCTCCCTCCACTGAGCAAAGAACTCACTTGATGTGGAGCTTGATCCCAGAACCCTGGCATCATGACCTGAGCCAAAGGCAGATGCTTAACTGACTGAGCCCCTCAGATGCTCCATCCCCCAAAAGCTTCTTAAATGATATTCTCCCTCCTAATCAGGGTAAGCCACCCTTCCTCTGTCCCCAGCACTCAGTGGCCTCCCAGGGGCCATGCATGAAGTCCATGCTCCCCAATGTGGTGATCTGTGGGCTACCATTAGGCATCAGGCCACCTTCGAGCCCCTTTCCCAATATCCTGGCCCATCTTCCTTATAGAGAACAAAATGGAGTCTCTCATTGTCAAGCAGGGGACTGTGTCAAGCAATGATGCAAGCAGGTAAAGGTCCTGCAGCTAGGATATACTGCTGGGACCAGCATCAGCTGACAGCCCAGAAATGATAATGAACAGACCAGAGGCAGTCTGCAGGGGCCCAAGACCCTTTAAAAAGGGGACGATTCTAGCAGCAAACTGTCAGACTCCTCAGACATGACTTTTCTATGTCCGACCACTTAAAAAAGACAACTGCACTGAAGGATCTGCCCGATGGATCTCCAAGCAAAACCGAGATCCTTCACTGCTTGAATATAAGCTGCATGAAGTGCCAAGAACTGACCCACACCACACTGAGGCCTTATCTCAACTGTGCACCCACAGACTGATTTCACATTCGGTTTGTTAACTTCATACACCCCCCGTTTTTTTTTTTTTTTTTTTTTTTTTTTTATTTGAGAGAGAGACAGAGAGACCGAAATGGACAGATAGGAAGAGGCAAAGGGAGAGAGCAAGAGTGTAGGGAGGAGCAGAGGGAGAGGGACAGACTCTGTGCTGAGCCTGGAGCCAGAGGTGGGGCTTGATCCCAGGACCCTGAGATCATGACCTGAGCCGAAACCAAGAGTCAGATGTTCAACTGACTGAGCCACCCAGGGGCCCCCTTACCCTCTTCTGTCATCTCGTCTTTTGTGTGGCTTGTCTTATGGTCTGCTCTGTTAGGCTGTGTAAGAAGCCAGGTTGAATCACATGGTGAAATGTCATGGAGTTTGGAATCCTGAACCTCCTCCCTAATCATGATTAACTTTGCTTTAAGACTGAATAAAGCTGACATTGTGGAAAGCCAACTCGTGTGTGTGCCTTCATAGTGTGCTCATGACATTCCTCCTGCCAGGGCGGGGCTCCACACCCTAGATCTCCCTGCCCGCCTCCTCCCTGAAGAGCCAAATGGCACTGTTCTGCCAAGGCCAGCTCGGGGCTACCCTTCCCTCCCACCATTCCTCTCCTCTGGCCCAGAGTGTGCACTGTTGGCACCCCTGGCTTCTCTCCTCTTCTCTTCCTATATTAGTCATGTACCATTAAATGGGCACGAGGCCCTGTCTGCCTGCACACACATCTTTCAACTGTTTGCATGGGGCCAGGAATTAGCTTCCAAAAGCCTCATACCCTGCATTTGGACTGCTGGCATCTGGCCTAGACTCTGGCCCTCAAAGTCTTCATTGGTGACAGTAACAATGATGGCTTCGTGGAGGAATGAGAACATTTAACGCACGTTACACAGTGTCTGGCACAAAGAAAACATCCAGTGAGGGGCACCTGGGTGGCTCAGTGGTTGAGCATCTGCCTTTGGCTCAGGTTGTGATCCTGGGGTCCTGGGATCAAGTCCTAAGTCGGATTCCCCACAGGGGGCCTGCTTCTCCCTCTGACTCTGTCTCTGCCTTTCTGTGTCTCTCATGAATAAATAAATAAAATCTTTAAAAAAAAGAAAAGCAAGCAAGCAAGCAAGCATCCAGTGAAAGGCAGTGGTTATAGCCTCCTTCACCCCAACCATTACCATCCTCAAAGCCTAACCCCACTCCTACTCCCTCATCTCACACCATTCCTGCTCTCTGGCCATTGAGGACTACAGCACCCCTTTTGCCTTTAAACTAGGTTCTTATCTGTTTCTTTTCATTTATATGTTTATTTCCATGTATCCCAAGCCCAATGTTAAATGCTTAGCACTAAGTTCTAAGTGCTGTATATTTGTGAACTTATTTTGTCTTCACAGTAAGCCCATAACATGTGTACTGTTACTGCCTCCAGATGAGGAAACAGGAGCACAGGGCAGTTAGGAATCTTGCTCAAGATCACAGCTATTGGGAACAAAGGTACTATATGAATACATCACTTTCACGCTCAAAATATCTGAAATGGATCTTGTCATCCTCTCTCACTAACCAGACATTTTTCCCAACTACTCCAATTTCTGACAGCAGTTCCACTAACATGTGAGACCCCAGACTGGAAATCCTGATGTCCCCTGGCATTAACTGTCAAGCTGTTGGGAAGTCCTATAATTTACTTTTTCAGTAGACCTCTTGGAAATGGATCAGTCTCCATTTCCACTTTCTCTGCCTCACACCAGGCCCACACATTCATGCACTGACCACAACCTTGAAACCCAATCCGCAGCCCGGGGCTCTCCTGCCTTGGGACAAACGCACACGCTCCTGCTGAACAGATCTGATGAGACCTAGAGTACATTGTACTTCTGGTTCTGCATATCCTTCAGGTAGGGAGAATTTATTCAAATGTATCCAAATGTATCAAGAGCCTCAAAAGCATTCCAATATCTTTAAGCCAACAATTCTAAGAATTCTTAGAATTATTTCCAGGGAAATAATCAGAGATAAGGACAATAAGTATGAGATATGCAGGGCATTTTCACAGTAACAAAGAATCTGAAAAATTCAAAATATCCAGCACTAGAAGAACAGCTGAATAACTTATCATACTCTCATTTAAAGGAATACTAAGCACTTGGAAGAGTTAATTTTCCAAGAAATATTTAATGACTTCAGAAACTGTTCATAATTTTATGTTAAAAAAAAAAGCAAACCACCTTATAAGAATACAGATGCATTCATTAGTAGTGTATAGAACAAAAGTGGAACACAGCTGATTGATAGCGGTTGGTTATTTGGGCTACAAGGGGTTATTTTTCTTCCTTCCATTTTTCTATATTTTTTTAATTTTCAAGAATGAACCTATTTAGCTTTTATAAGGAAAACAATTTTTAGCCAGCTGAACCAAAAAGAATCTAGGATGAGTGGAGTTCAGATTGTGTGCTTCCTTTGTCCCCACCAGCACTGTCTCATGGGGTGCACCCACACCGAGCCCCATTCCCAGAAGCCAGGCATCCCCCATACTTACTCCCCAACACTGTGCCCTCTCTTGGTCCTGCCTAGCTCAGGCTTCCTCCTGAATCTCTACCCAACCTTCCAAACCTCACCTCTTCTGACAAGGTTCTGCAAAATCTGGGTCAGTATGGCACAGTTTGGGGCATCTAATCATTTCATATTTTTGTTTCATTATCTCAAGCAGTAAGTCCCTAGCAGGCAGGGACTTGGCAGTACTTTCTGCATCCCTGTTGCTGGTATGGCACTGACCAACAGCAGTAAAGTGAACTCTAGAGGTGAACCCATGTACCTTATCACCACATCGAACTGGTTGAGGGCCTGGCCCAGTGCTAGTCCGTGGAGTATGCCACCGCTTCCAATGACCACACAACGCCTACAGCTCTTTGCTCTCAAGTGTTCGGGCATGTCATGCTCGGGCAGTATTTCCAACAGGGTCTGGACTTCACTGGAGAACTTTCGGAATCCAAAAGGAGGATCATACTTGTACTCGGCTTCATTCATTTTGGGGGTCTCCTTCACGAAAGGTGGCAAGTCCGTGCTGTACCTGTGCTCGAACAACTGCGCCATCGACTTCTTCGCAAACATGGGTCGGCACTCCTTTTGCAAGACTTGCTGAGCATATTTCTGAGCTCTCTGGAATGAAATCACAGCGATCTGAGTTTGAATAACTCTTAGGCATTAGAAATATCATCTTACAGATGACACTGTGTCCTGCGATGTCTGATAGAGCTGCCTGTCGATTACTCTTTCAGCACAAAACAGTTGCTTTTTTTTTAAGAGTTAACTGATGCTCAGAAACTTAAAGAAATAAACTGGGAGAATCACAGGACAGGGAGATAAACACAGCAAGTATATTTACTTCATTGTATAAGGAAAGCATGTCCTTGTACCCCCACCTCCTGCCCCTGGCCTAACCTTGTTCCTCAAATAAATTTGGGGTGAAATACACATTTTGAAGTATTTCATGTCTTACAAGATCCTGTCACATGCTACAACATGGATGGACCCTGAGAACGTTATACTAAGTGAAATAAGTCACAAAAGGACTGTTTTCAGCCCACTTATAAGGTCTCTCAAGTATTAAAACTGGTCAAAACAGAAAGTAGAATGGTGGTTAGCAAGGACTGGGGGGCAGGGGCAAATGGAGAGATGGTGTTTAATGGGTCTGGAATTTCGGTTTTGCAAGATATAAAAGTGCTAGAAATCTGTTTCACAGCAACATGAATATACTTAACAGGGTCGAACTGCACATTTAAAAATGGTTGAGATGGTAAGTTTTATGTGTTGGGTTTGGGGTTTTTTTTAACCACAATTTAATGCAATTTCATATTTTGGGTTCTTATCCTTCAAGATGAGAAAGATGCTTATTTATCAGTTGGGGCAATGAGCTTCATACAGTCTGGAATGTAAGTTATTCTAAATGTAATCAGGGATCAGTGTCCTGTCAACATAGAAGTAGTTTTGTATACGATCTTCCTGCACTGCGAATGCCTCGCCTCAACAAGGAAAGGCTGCCGAATGCCAAGTACGGTAGCCCAGCTGAAAGCAAAACTCACCAGAGGGATGTGGTACAAAGGCCCAAGCACCCCAGTCTTCCTCCTGGCTCAGTCTGGCCAAATGCTGCCTCAGAACTGCCTGGTGGGAAGTCTTCCCTCATCCTTGTGCTTCCTGTCCTCATCTCCACCTTCAGCAGCCTTGGCCCCGCCTTACCCCTCCTCCCACCAAGCTCTCCTCACACACACACACACACACACACACACACCCATGTATGCATGTATGAAGTCCTAGATTTTCTGGGATATTTATTTTTAGGATTGAATATGTCTTTTTTTAAACTCTGTTCATCCTATTATGAGGATTATTATGGTTGCATATAGTTTTATTTTTTTTAAGATTTTATTTATTTACTCATGAGAAATACAGAGAGAGAGAGAGAGAGAGAGGCAGAGACACAAGCAGAGGGAGAAGGAGGCTCCATGCAGGGAGCCTCGATCCCGGATCTCCAGGATCATGCCCTGGGCTGAAGGTGGCACTAAACCGCTGAGCCACCCGGGCTGCCCGGTTGCATATAGTTTTAAATGTCTGCCCCAAATATGGTTTTCCTTCAAGTTTTACAATTTTTATTGTCTGGTTTCTGTATAATAAATTTAGTTGTAGGAAAACACCTATCTTATTATAGCAGAACCCCCCCACACACACACACTCCTCCCATTTTAAGATACAGCTTCAAAAAATTCTTAGTACCTGCACAGAATACACTGTCTACATCTGAAGGATGTGGCCTCGTTTTTTAAAAGGGGAACTCATACTCTCTGAAGCAGAAATGATGCTACAGACACTATGCACAGACATGATCTTGGTCTACTGGCACCGACACTCCCACACATCACAAAATGATCGTTCGTATCTTCACTTTGTAGGCTCAAGGTGACATGACAAGTGGGGGGCCAAGCTGGCGTGCTTACCTGGTCTCATTACTTCTCAAATGCCTAAAACCACAGCCCCTGTCTACACAGAGCAGCATACAGACACCACCGTGGAGACCGAGAGTTTAAATATGAACTGGCATCTTCATGAGGAATCAATGGGAAAGCAAAGCCAACCGTGAGCCCGAGTGGCACCAGAACGGAAGGCCTGCCAAGCCTATGGCACGCGGCACCCAGCAGAGACTTAACGCCCCATCAGCGGAGGGACCACACACACCACACACAGTTTGTCTTTAGACCCAAGGCCTGAAGATTAGGAACAGCAAGTTTTAGAGAAGAGATGGAATCCTTCACTAAGGAACAACATGTTAAGTATCTGGTGTTGCAGGTCTCCTAGGACAGAAATGAACGTCTGAGAAGTGCCTGGAGAAACCCAGAGCAGCTTAGTGATCCACGCGTGACTGGAAGAAGTAGGTGATAGAGCCAGAAACGTGGGCTCGGCTCTTCTGGGCTGCCAAATTTCCTCTTTAGAAGTTTCATTTGGAAGGAGGGAAATTTCACTCCATTTCCATTCTGGCAAAGAGTTCCATTTCAGGCTTCAAACTTAATTTTCTAGACTGGGAGCAGAGCACAAGGCTTAGTAATCACCCTCTGACCATGACTGTGCTGGTGCCTCTCTCACTGCAATGTAGAATAAATCAATCCCCAGGGAAATATATGTTCTAGATGCCACTGGAAACATCTACAGTGACAGCAACTCCTTTTATCCCTCTGTTTCACCTCATTTAGAGATGTGTGTGTAACAAGCCCTGAAGCCCCTGGGATCGCTTCTTCTAGACAGAAGCTGCTTTTTAGTACTGAGTCAGGTGGCAAATGGCCACCTCATGTGAGACCTCACTGAAGGGTATTAAAAAAAAAAATCAAATAATTTTCCTTCGCCAAAGTCTCCACTTTCATTTCTGCTGCATAATTTTTAGGATAACACTTCTTAGAAACAGAAGTCAGTGGCATAATTCTTAGCAAAAGGCAATGTTCTCTTTCCTTTCTTTAACTCCAGGACAGGGCATGGCACTGAGGTGGAAGGTGAGTTTTGGGGCTGGGGCTGACCAAACTCAGGTAGGAGCCTAATTCAACCACAGACCACGTGAAAGGAGGGCAGGAGTCACCTAGTGAGAAATTGCAGTTCCTGGCTGGAGAAGGCCAGCACTGCTCTATCCTCACAGGGCTGCTCTGAGGCTCACAGCTTCATGCACTGTGCCCGAGCCAGGTGGGACTTGAGCCCATCACAGAAGAACAGCGACCATAGGCCAAGCTACTGCCACCCTTACCGCACATTCAAGGTAGCTGTCTGTATGTCCACCTGGCTACAAGCAGTACAAGCGGGGCCAAATCTGAATAACTAAGTCACAGAAAGAACACCAGGGTAAAAACTCCAGCTGTCAGTGGCTGTCCAGGACTGGTGATGGACAGAATGTTCTAAGATTAGGACTGGGGTGCTGGTGGTGGTACTATGTGAATGCACACACACTATCACACTGCATGCTTCAGAGGAGGAACTGTGTCACGGCAGACTGTTAAGAAAAAGCAATCAGAAGATCTGGATACTAGGTCCAGTTCTAGATCTATTAGCCAGAGTGTGACTTTGCTAAAGCATCTAGCCCTAGGCCAAGGCTTCAGTTCCCTCATCTCTGATATCTGAGGATGGGTTGGGGGGGATGGGCAGAACCTAGGAAAAGAATCAGTCTAGAGCTTCTGGCACCTTGACTGATAACTCAGGCCAGGTTACTCCGCATAACTTAGCTACATGAGTGTGTAGATCTGCAGAGTCAGGGAGAAGTAAATTTGGCCATAATTAACTACACAGCATGAAATGCAGTCCCCTGAGTGGGATGTGGTTTTTAGCACTCTGAGAAGAGAGAGGGCCTAGTTCAAATTGTTGCTACCATGTGGCCCAAACCTACACTGACAGGACTGTGTCCTCATCTCTCCTCAAACATCTTTCATGTGCAATTTCACATCTGAAATGCACTTTCAAGGTGTCCATATTCTGGCAGAGACCACTGTTAGTCTTTTTAAAGAAATGGCACATTAAGGGGCATCTTTAAATAGAAAAGACAAAATCTACAACTACCATGGCCACACGTCTGCTGCTGTATTAACACAGGCCAGGTCCGGCATAACCAGACAATGCTCAGACTCCAGCAGGGTCAGCAGGGTCCCACTGAAACACTGCAAGCTGAATATCCTCAACAGAGCTAACAAGGCCTCATGGCTTTGAGATCATCTTAGGCTAACATACAGGCACAATAATTCAAATTTGTTTAAATACTCTTGGTGGAAAGGACAACCTCCAACAACAGCCTGGAGACAGGGTTTTCTTTGTGGAGAGCTCATACTGAATACCACCTCGCAGCCAGCCATTCAGAACATCAGGACCACACCAGCCAGCTTCCGTGGCCATTTCCTCTATTCTGGGGACTTGAGAGAGGGTTTCTGATTTTGCTTCAATGAAACATGACCAGCTATCAAATTTGGGATCTGCTCAGTGTGGCATTCAAGGCCTTTCCCTCTTTGGTTCTGGCTCATTTTCAGCCTTCTATCCTGCTATGCCTCACCCCAAATCCTCAGTGATAGCCAACTCTTGCTGTACGTCTAATTTGCAAAGCCCTCGAGGGCATATGCTTTTTGCACACACTGCTCCCTCTGCCTGGAATGCAGCAGGACAACCTGTCAGGACCACTGTGAAAAGTGGAGCATTCTGACAGCATCAACAATGTGAAAAAGCTATTAAAAAGTCTCAAGTAATAAAATAAATTAAAAACACCCCTAATTCCACAGTGGTTATAGCAAGCTTTCACTTTCTATTTTATTAATTTCTGAACTGACGAATGCTTTCACAGACACATTTGACTATATAACTACCCCCTGATTCTTCCCTCTTTCTTCACAAACTATAGGGGACTTTCTACTTTATTCATTTTGGTATTATTTGAATTTCTGGTGTTATGTTTATAATTGGAAAAAATAATGATCTTTTAGACACCTTTTAAAACTGGGTGGATGTGGTGGTCACTGTGGGCTGCCTACTGGGTATCTATTTCCCATTCCTTCTTAGGGAACCTTAGTTTTGTGCAGGATGCTAACACTCCTTCTCCAGGCAGTCAGTGGGGCTTGGGAGGCTGACCTTGCCCATCAGATACTCCCATCCCCCTTGCTAGGGATTGGTCAAGAATGCTCACTGGAGCCCAATCAGGGCAGGGCACTAGCAGCAGTGAACGTAAGTTTTAAAACTGGAATCATCAGCCTAAATGGAGGACTCAGATTCCATGGTTTGGGGGAAGGGGATGGTGAGATTTTTTTTTTCCTGTCTACTATCCACTGGTGGATATGAGGAGTTGAACAGGAACTATCTGACCTATTCCTTAAAGGAATATTAGACTTAATGTGCATTACTGAAAATACTCAAAGAATTGCATGTTGTGTTATTTACCTGTGGATTTTCAATACAATCTGGAGTTCAGAGATAAGACACCACACCTTAGTCTCAGTAATATCTTCCCTCCCTCTCTAGTTTAATATACCTATGTATATATTAATTAATACAAAATGTTAGCACACAATCCCCATCTCCCAAGGGCTTGCTTAAAGGACAAATGAGAAAGACATTAAAATAGTACAGTGTTAAGTGTTAGGATTAAGGTATGAAAGGGGTTTCTAGAAGACAGAGAAGGATAATCAGAGAAGGCTTCTTAGGAAAGGTAACTCCTGAGCTGAAACTTGATGTGAAAGATGAGGAGCAAAGAGGCAAAGGGAAGGGCTCCACACAGAGAAGTCAGAAAGAATGCAGCAAACATAGAGGAAAGTCTTTTCAACAAATGGTGCTGGGAAAACTGGATGTCCACAGGCAAAGGAAAAAAGGTTGGACCCCAACCTCACACCATTTACAGAAAATCACTCAAAATAAATTAAAGACCTACAATTAAGAGCTAAAAGTATAAAACTCTCAGAAGAAAACATAAGCTTAGGCAATTATTTCTTAGATATGAAATCAAAAGCATAAGGAACAAAAGGAAAAATAGATAAACTGGACTTCATCAAAATTAGAAACTTTTATGCTGAAAATGACACTATCAAGAAAGTGAAAAGATAATTTACAAAATGGGAGAAAATACTTGCAAGTCATATATCTGATTAAGGGACTGGTAGCCAGAATATACACAGAATTCTTACAACTCAATAATATAAAGACGAATAACCCAATGAAAAATTGGGACAAAGAACTTGAATAGACATTTCTCCTTAGAAGACATGCAGATGGACAATGAGCACACAAGAAAGATGCTCATCATTAGTTCACAAGGAAATGCAAATCAAAATCATAGTGGGGCATACCTGGATACAGAAAGGCGGGTAAGGAGACACTGGGGCAAAGGGTGAGAGCAGAGGATGCTAAAGGGCAACTGGAGCATTATTCCTGTCCCTGGAATCCCAGAAATGGTGTATTTTTAGAAACACCATCCTTGTTATCAGGGAACTTATATTTTAGATGAGACAACAAAATGCTTAAGTAAATGACTGTATCAGATGGAGTCTGGTAAGTTTCAGAGGCGTTTCCAAGTACCCCTCAGTGTGAACGTCACTGAGTTGGGTACTGCTGGTGCTCAGTATTCAGATCAGGGAATAAACCAGCCTATACTTTCCAGCCAGGGTACTGATACAACTACAGAAAACCACGGAGTCATAGGGCTGGAAGGAATCAGAAAAGTCCTTGATCAACTGTCTGATGCCTAAAGTCTACCCACAGGACCAAACAGTTACCCTGGCTTTGCTTTAAACAGCTCCAGAGATTCGCCACGAAGGTGGTCCATTAATCCCATCTTCAGATGCCTCAGACCATCAAATCCTTCATTCAGCTTGACTACAATCCCCTGATTTGTCCGTCTGCCATTAAGGCCACCTGGGCACAGCTGACCCTCCCAGAGGCCAGGCCTCTGGTTTGTTGACAGTAGCTGCCACATGCCCTGTACCAGGTCTTCTCTCTTTCAGGTTATGTTAACGTTCCCATCCCTTCAAAGGTTCCTCGGGGACATGGTCTTGAGTCTCATCTCTGGTCATCATCAGAAGTCACTAGGACTCCTTGGGGAACCTTACAGAGTAATAGCCATAATGATCAGAGTACTTGTCTGAGCTCTGCAGGGACAAGCAGACCATCCCTGGTCTATTAATGTAGTTTAAGGGAAACAGTTGTAGGCAGCCACAGTACAGGCCTATGCAGATGGTGCAGGCCAGGCACTAAAATGCAAAGTGGATATTACCCCAGGTGTTACTAAAACACATCCTCCCCATCTTCTACTTATGAAATGGTATGTGGGACCCCTGCATGCAAGAGCTCCCATCTCTCTTCAATTAACACAGACTCGAGAGTGATTATCTTTGCAGGTGGTCAGATGGCCAATAGCGTGATTAATTAAATGGACAGGAGAAAGAGGCCACAAAGAGAATGTAGACAAGCAGAGCATAGAAGCAAAGAGAAGAGTTCACAGCTATCAGGACGTGTGCAAGGCCAGCTGGAGAGGGAGGCAGAAGGCCCAAGCAGAGACATCAGATGCATCCTGCTCCACCAAAACAGATGTACTGATGCTGGTGAAATGAACAGTCAGCGAACCTCTGGGGATAGAGCCAGCACAGAAAGGAAGGCTCTGGGAGACACGACGGTTCTGCAGAGGCCATGCTGCACATTTATTAATTGTATTCTTTTCATTTCCTTGTTTACATCTCCCTGTCTCACAGAGCATGTGAGACACTTCCAAGAACATACAGATGGAAGTAAAAACAGGTTAGAACCCAGACTAGAAAAGGAGCTCCATGTCCATTATCTTATTCAAATTTAAGGGCTGCCCTGTCGCACAGATGCTGTTGTCTACATTTCAGCACTGAGAAAAGTGAACTCAAAACAGTTAAGTCACTTGCCTGAGGTCTCATCTTTGACTCAGTGGCATTTAGACTTGAACCTAGGTCAGAAATTTAAACTCCCTCCTCTCTGCATTACCCTGCCTAGAACTTCTGGCTCCTTCTGTGGGTACCCTCTACCCAGGCAGACAGCAGGCAGCAGGAGCTCGGACTCTGCAACCAGGCTGCTGAGTCCAAGTCCCAACCCCACCACTGATGAGTGAAGGTCATCTGAAACAGGCTACTTCTTCTCCTGCCTGCCATCGCCTCAGCTGTGAGGTAACGACAGCTCCCATGATGAGGGTTAAATGAGTTGATATTGCTGACGTACTTTTATAACAGCTACACAGTATACAGAAAACTAGATTAACCGAACTGGTTAACTTAACCAGATGTGAACTTGGGTAAGCGGCTTAACCTCCCAGCCATCATCTGTCAGAGGGACAAATACTAAAATATCTCCCCATTGAGACAATTATAAAGCATCCATACGTGTTGGTCACTGTTGCTATGCTACTGGACTTCAAATCATCTCTTCCTTCACCCAGGACTGAACATTATTGGATTGTTTAACCACTTAAATAATCTGTGAAATTAGCATTTAATAGGTCAATTGATTCAGATAAATATAAATTGAAGGAAAAAAGCTTGAAATACAGTTTAAAATCATTAAAATGAAAAATAACCCCCAGAAATGATGTGATGCTAAAAGAACTTGATCTTGTTCTAAGTACGTGTACGCTGGCAATATCACAGCATGGTGCCCCCATGCCAGGTGCCCTAGAATGGGTCACATGCAACTCACCTCCCTCAACGACTTCAGTAAATGAAGAATACTGTGGGGTGGGTGGGTGGGTGAGTTGGTTATTTGGTTTTTTGCAGGGCAGTGGGGAAAGGCTGTCTCTGATTTTGGAGTACTAAGATAGTGTTTTCCCTGTTTAAAACTTTCACGAGTACTTATTTAGAACCCTTTAGAAATGACATTTCTGTTTAAGTATAAGCTTGGAAATGATTTAATTTAAACCACCAATGGCATATCTAACCTTTACACGGTCTGGGTCCACATAATGCATTTTTTTCATGTCACATTCTTCAGTAGTATAATTTAACTTGAGAATATAAAGGATCCACACTCCAAACACAAGCAATGTACACCTGGAAAAAAAATCAATTAGGTATAATGAGGCAGTTATGGGATAATCAAGAGAAATCATATGAAGTAAGTGAAAACCTACCCCAGACTGAGTTTGCCTGCCATGTAACATCAAAGGACAATCTATAAGGCATAATAAGCATAAGACATGAATCACAATGCAGACCACTGGACTTTATAAAACCAAGTAATAGCTTCTGAGTAACAGAATCTCAGCCTCCATTTTTTGCCACTCTAAAATACTGCCGGTCTATCAAATACTGTATGATTCCACTTATATGAAGCACATCGTCAAAAGTTGCAGAGACAAAAAGTAGAACAGTGGCTGCTAGGGGCCAAGGGGAGGGGAGGGATTTAGTGTTTAATGAGTAGAGAGTGTCAGTTTTATAAGATGCAAAGAGTTCTGGAGGTGGATAGTGTGATGGCTGCATAACAATGTGAATGCATTTACTATCACTGAACTGTATACTTAGAAATGGTTAAGATGGTAAATATTATGTTCTGGGTATTTTACCACAATAAAAAAAATAGGGGAAAATACTGGGAGCCCTTAGAAAAATAAGAAGACAAACATTCTACTCATTATTTTTCTAAAGATTCTACCCAGAAATGAGGCTTAACTGACGTGAGAGAGAACCACCAGTCACCCTTAAGACCATTTACAAAAACTGCTTTTAGAGATCTGACAAATTCCTATCATTATATAGCTTAAAATAAACACACACACACACACACACACACACACACACACACACACAGGATTAGGAGAAAAGAAATGAGCCTAGTCCTGGTTCTCGAAACCTCATTTTATTTTGTTTTGTTTAAAATTATTTATTTATTTAGAGAGAACAAGCGCAAGGGGAGGCGGGGCATGCAGGGGCAGAGAGAGAATCTCAAGCAGACTCTTCGCTGAGCACGAAGCCTGAATGGGGGCTTGACCCCACAACCCATCAGATTATGACCTGAGTTGTACCCAAGAACCTCTAGAAACCTCATTTTTTTAAAAAAAAATTTTAATTAATTCATTTGAGAAAGAGAGGGAGAGAGAAAGAGAGTAAGCACGGGCCAAGGGAGAGGGGCAGAGGTAGAGGGAGAAGCAGGCTTCCCAATGAGCAGGGAGCCCAGTGTGGGACTCAATCCCAGGACCCTGGGATCATGACCTGAGCTAAAGGCAGACACTTAACTGACTAGGCCACCCAAGCACCCCTAGAAACCTCATTTTTTAAATAAGCTTCCCAAGTGATACTGACAAACTAAAAGTAAAAATAAATAAATAAATAAAAATAAATAAATAAATGGAAGTTTAAGAACCATTTCTTTAAATAATGTCACTAAATAAACAAAGTAAAGGAATAACCTGAATAAGAAAATGATCTCTTTTCTCTCTTTTTTATAAAGATTTTATTTATTTATTCATGAGAGATATATAGAGAGAGGCAGGGACATGGGCAGAGGGAGAAGCAGACTCCTCACTGAGCAGGGAGCCCTATGCGGGACTCGATCGCAGGACTCCGGGATCATGGCCTGAGCTGGAAGGAGATGCTCAACCACAGCCACCCAGGTGTCCAATGATCTCTTTTCTAAAGGAAGGGGTAGTTTTAAAAATACAGCATCTAGCACAATATACTATATACAATAGATGCTAAATATTTCTTACTATTTGAGGAGGATGATGTAGGAAAGTATTGCTAGGAAGTGTTTTCCAGACTTCTTGATTCTTCTTTCAACAGGCTCTCCCATGAAAACCTGGACAAGCATCCTAATTTTTCCCTGGGATTGAATACACCGCTAAATGAATAGGATGCTACCATCTGTGTAAAAGTCAGGAGTGGGTAACATATACATGCACGCGCGTGCACACACACACACACACACACACAATTTCTTATGTACACAAGATTGGTTATCTTTAAGTGGGAGGCAAGAATGAGGGTGTATTTTACTGAGTACTTTGAATATCTTTGAATTTTAAATATTGTGAATGTAGTATCACCTGCTCCTCTCCCTAGCCCCCCAAAAAGGTATCACATTTGGTGCATATAATAATTCCCTTATCTTGATTACAAATGAACAAACAAACAAGGCAGGAAAGAAGGACAGCACTGAGGACACTGCACTAGAATGCCTGGTTGTAAGTCTTTCAACCCCACACTGTAGCTAACATGAACCCAGGTTGACCTCGTTTGCTGCCATGGGCCAGCACCTAACACAGTGCCAAGCATGTCAGGCCTCATTAAATACTGATTGATGATAAAAGGAGATGGAAAATATTAATGCACACTTCTTTTTCCTATCTTCCTTCTCCTACACCTACTACATAAGGGGTATTTTCAAAAGGGTGATTTGTTTTTTAAGATTTTATTTATTTGAAAAAGAGAGTGTGTGCACAAGTGAGGGGTAGGAGCAGAGGGAGAGGGAGAGGGAGAGAGAGAAGTAGACTCCCTACTGAGTAGGGAGCTCGAGGTGGGGCTCAATCCCAGGACTCTGGGATCATGACCTGAGCTGAAAGCTTAACCAACTGAGCCACCCAGGTGCCCTAAAGGGGTGATTTTCAACCTGATTTGGCTGCTAATCAGCCAAATGTAACCGCCAAGTCCCTCCCTTAACAATTATACCACTCATTAGGATATAAGGGTGACCTGGTTGAAACACCTGTCATCTTTCTGGGTTTAATATTTAAGGCTCTTCAAAAGCCTGTAAGGGGACTTTAATTAACAATATTTTTAGATTAACTTAAAATAGCTAAGGGGAAAAGCCCTCATTTGTTATGTAAGGGCAGGAAGGGTACACGTAAGAGCCACTCTCTCTAAGGCAGTGAGGCCTGGGGACAGGGCCTGGGAGCTTCCTGGCTGGTGCTGCCCTCTCACAAAGTATAAACCCAGACATCTGTATACCAAACCTTCACTTGAATGTCCCTTTATATGACGTTCTGACCAAGTATGAGAGCTATCCTTTAGGTCCCACTACAATCTTCTCTCAGTTTCCCACAACTGACCCAGCCAGGGGGATCAGAAGACCCGAGGGCTCATACTTACTTAAGGATGTCTTTTAACAATAAGTTGGGTCTTCTCATCTTGTTTTGAGCTCGGGTGTACCATTGCAGAGAGGGTCTTGAGCGATCACTTCTCAGTTTCACACAGTTATACTCACTGGGCATTGCTGTGAAGAGAAGGAAAGCCAAAGGGAAGGAAAGGAGGGAGGTGATGTTTATAAAAAGACTTTAGGGGGGCATATCCATGGCATAGAATACTACTCAGCAATAAAAAAGAATAAACTAGTGATATACCCAACAACCTGAATGAATGAATGAATCTAAGGTAACTATGCTGAGCCATGTAAACTAACAGTTTACATACTGTATGATTCTATGTATATAACATTCTTGAAATGTCAAAATTACAGAAATGGAGAAAAGATTAGTAGTTGTCAGGAGTTATAGAAGGGTAAAGCTGAGGGTGGCAGGATCCTTGTGATGATGGAAATACTGTGTTTTGACTGTATCATCAATATTCTAGCTGTGATATTATACTATGGCTTTGCAAGATGCTGCCAGTGGGGGAAACTGAGCAAGGGGTACAAGGGGTACAAGGGTACAAGGGGTACTCTGTATTATCTTTTATAACTGCACATGAACCTAGTTATCACCAAATAAAAAGTCTAATGTTTTTCAAGAGCCTTTAGCTTTTAGAGGTGCATACAGAACTATTTACAGATAAACAGGAGAAATGAGGTCTGCTTCCAAAAAGTCAGGGAGGGAATAAGAGTGGACATGGGGGAACAGATAAGACAACATTAGCTTCACACTGCTTAAGTGTAAAAGCTGGGCATGGGGTACATGGGGCTCATTATACAATATTCTCATGCTTTTGTACATTTGAAGTTCTCTATAATAAAAAAAGTTTAAAGAGGAAGTGTTATATTAAAAACAGAACAAAAGTATTACACTAAGGAAAAAAATGGCGATTTTCAAAGACATTTTTCTTCTAAAAATTATATGTTGAGTATACCTGTCTACTTATTCTTTTGAATTAACTGTGTTTTCAAATTTTCAATTTCTAAATAATATTCTAACGGGTACTGTAATAGAAATCAGTACGTCTACCCCTGTATAAGTTTCCCCCTTCCTGACACCTGGGTGGCTCAGTGGTTGAGTGCCTGCCTTCAGCCCAGGGCATGATCCTGGAGTCCCAGAATCGAGTCCCACATGGGGCTCCCTGCATGGAGCCTGCTTCTCCCTCTGCCCATGTCTCTGCCTCTCTATCTCTCTATGTCTCTCATGAATAGATGAATAAAATCTTTAAAAGAAAAAAAAAAGTTTTTTTCCCTTTCCCCTCAACTGGGTTAAACGCTGGATTTTTTAGCTGGGTGCGTGGCCTCCTAGCATAAAGACTACATTTCCTAGCCTCCCTTGGAATTAGGTGTGGCCTCATGACTAAGTTCTAGCCAATGGGATACGAGCAAAAGTGACTTGTACAACTTCCAAGGTGTCTTCCCTGGCATACACCTTTCCCCTTTTTCCTGCTGGCTGAAATACTGACCCAGGATGAGCCACTGTGGACCCTACCTAGAGCTCACCATCAAGGGCTAGTGGGGTAGTGACAGAGAAGGGGCCTGGGTCCCTAGACAACCCTAAGGACAGAGCTGCTATTCCACCTTGAATTGCCTGCCTCTGGGCTGTTGTAAGATGGAGAAATAAACTTCTGTCTTGCTTCAGCAATTGTTAATTAAAAGTGAAACCACAGCTTACTAATATAGGCGTTTATCATATTATGCTATTATGATAAACTTATATGTTAAGCAATAATATCTTTACTATAGATTTCCAGTCAAGAGGCAGTAATATGTTATTAGACACTTTATTTCCATTAAAGTCGTGTCATTTCCTTTGAAAAAAATCTTTTATCAAATCAACTTTCAAGTATTGTTTTTGCTACTGGAAACAATCTCTCCCTCAACTCCAACTCTCACTGTTACCGCTACTACAGATTAAGAATTTTTGTAGATATGTATCCTCCTGAATAGTTTCAAAAAACAGTGCCAAGGACCTCACTAGTAAACCCCTGCTGAAGAACAAGTGAGACCCGGAAGGTTTTTTCAGACACAATGTCAGGGTTACTTAAATGCATGGCCAGTCAAGTGATGGGAACCTGCAGGCTATCTGTAACCAGTACATACAGAAAACAGACATTTCTAAGCTGTCCGGGTTTTTACAACCAGAATGACCCACAATTCATAGTGAGGTGGACCTCCAGCCAACACAGTGACTGTGGTGTCAGAGAGAAATGGTTTCCACCTCTTCCTATTGCTGGTGCCCTGGACAGCGCTGTCCTGCAGGCCACACGCCCATGAACTTCCCTTCCCACACTGGCCAGCTGGCTTCCGGATGAGTTGTGATTGTGGGATATGCAGGTAGAAAACTGGAAGACAGCACGAAAGAGGCAACCTTCCCGGTCCCCTTATTCAGCATGGCCTCTGGCAGGGGCAGTGGCAGTCACAGGCAAGAGAGGGTGACTCCACATGACTCTAGCAGCACTGGTGGCATCCAGTATCCTCAGTTTCTCCTGGAGAAAAGCGATGGCACTTCCAGCAGCTTTATTATGAGTACAAGCCTCAGCCCAGAGTGACAGAAGGTTCCTGACCTCTCTAACACTTCTACATCTCTCTCTCTCTCTCTCTCTCTCTCTCTCTCTCTCTCGATGTTATTTATTTATTTGAGAGAGGGAGAGCACGAGTAGGGTGAGGTGGAAAGGGAGAGAGAATCTCAAGCAGGCTCCAAGCCAAGTGCAGAGCCCGAAACAGGGCTCAATCTCACAGTGCTGAGATCATGACATGTACCTGCTGGTTGTTGCTACTATTATCACACAGAAAGGGAACCTATAGACACCCAGTCTCATTTGACAGGATTTATCTGTTGGGGCTTTAAGGCTCTTGTGTCTTTTGATCACCCTTACTTCTAGCTGTAGGTTTGGCCCTAGCTCTATTATGGAGTTCTCTCTTCCATCCATTCCCTTTCCCTTTCTGGTGTTTCTGGAGAAGCAACACCCTCCTGGAGCTCCTCACATACTCCCCCAGGGTCAGGTCCTACCCAGCATCCTTTCTCCCCTCTCACCCCTTTCTCACCCTGCAGAACCTCTAAATGCTCAGTGTTCACTGGCCCCTGTCACTGCTCCCATCCTATCTATCTTCCTTCACTCCATCTGCACACGTCTGGGATATCTTGCAACCATACTTCCTCTAAAACCTCTTGAACCTTCCCTTAAACCCCCCTATGCACATCTTCTGACTCCAAGGTCCCGGTCTCCACCCCCAGCACAGTCTTTTCCTTGTCCCACAAATACTTACTGCAAGGCTTCAACTATCAGCAGACATGTTATTTATATTGTTTTTTCTTTTTAATACACATTTGTCCCTGTCTCCCCAAGAAGAATATAGATTGCATGGCAGCAGGAGTCTTCACTTCACTCACCACTGAATTCACAGTGCCTAGGATGTTAAGTGGCACATAATGGGCATCTAGTACATATTTATTGAATAAATATTCAGTTTCTTATGAGAGCTTCAGAGGTGATGGTGGTTTCAGGCATTCCTCCAAGGACTTTTGTTGGCAGGCCATCACCAACAGCTTGCCTATCTTCTTCTGTCCCATGGCACCCTCTTGTCCTTCTTCCCCATCTCCTTCATGGGTAGCTCTTCTCCTACCATCGAGAAGGGTCCCAGGGCTCCTAAGTCCTAGGGTCCCAGGGCTCATAAGTTTAATCCTCTTCTCACTCAGGCTCCAGGGATGAGCCTTCACATAACAGCTTTGCTAACCATATTCATGCAGAAAAGCCTTGGCTTTCAAAATTACATATTTCTATTCACACACAAAAACATAACATATCCTTCTTAAACACTTATACGCCTGATGAAGAAATAATTCTTATTAATGCCCTGATGGACAAGAGCAAGGCCTACGCTTTCCATTTGAGGAAATCACACTAACATTTTCAAAATTAAGAACCGTTCAAGACAAGAGTAGAATAGATACCACAAAGCAGGACATGATAAACTGCCAAATTACCTATACAGACAATTACTGGTACAAGAGTGGACAGGGCATTAATATTTATTGGGAGTAAAGCCTACTATGTACTTAACCTGCCGAAGGTCATGCATGGAGAAGTAAAGGGCTGAGAATTCTAACGCACATCTATTCACCTCCAAGTGCATTGCATGCCCTTCTACTTGGAAGAGCTTCGGAAGGCTAGATATGCATATACGTGAAGGGTCTTTTGTTTCTAATAATGAAGGCTTGACAAGGCACAGATCACTATAAACAAAAATCTGAACTTGAGAAAGCAGGGAGTAAGCCAACACAGCTGGAGTGGGCTGCCTGGGAAGGTGAATAGGTATAGCTCAGATGTGAATATGGCAGCTGAAAGAACATGCCTTTTAAGGTGGGAGGACTTCACGGCAGGAGAGAAGGAACACCAGTCTGCTGCTTGCTAGGCTGCCCGCCCAGGGACAGCAAGGGAGGGTCCTGGATGCTCGCTGCTGCCCAGATGAAAGGGGAGCCTGAGGCCCATCTGGTGAGGAGCAGAAAGAAGGGACAGGACAGGGACCGGACAGGGAGCTACTGAAAAATGATGAAAGGAAGAGTATTAGCGACAAGAAGTGTTACAAACGGAAAGCTGCACCCCAGTTACAGAAAGACAGGGATGGAAGTCCGTTTTTGTAGTTTTGTGATGATGTGATTAATATGAGATGATAAATAACCAGATAGAGATGCCCAGGAGACAGTTGGAAATATAGCTTGATGCAAGAGAACATCCAGCCCACCAGCCCTTCCCACCAGGTCCAAGAGAGCTAACCCCTAAGTAAGGCATCCATGGTATGGAACAAATTAACTTTTCTTTTAATCAGACTGGTATGAGTTATGTATCATCCACGGAAAGTTGAGAAAATGATCACTCAAATCATGTTTGGGGTTTTATGTTTTAGATGAAGACTTCTACTTGATAAAGGAGAACAAGAGAAGGCAGGAAGCCTGTGCTTCAGGAGAAGACAATTTTGGGGTGCGCAGAGACTCAGTATGTCATGGTGTCCAGGAGAATGCGCGCAGCATGAGCAGAGGGCATAGCAACGAGCGGCTGGGTAGGGAGGGAAGAGGCATGCTGTGA